TCATCCAATTCTGCGGGTGATGTCTACCGTAACAGATATTGATTCCTATTTTCCCAAATTTCGTTTCAAACACTGGATGTCCTAAATTGCTTTCCATGTAATATGTCGACTATATTTCAAAATAATTGATTAATCTTAGAAATTTTTACAAATAATATCTGTTATTATTGTATTGAATATATATTCACTTTAAACTTATTTATAAACAAATAATAATATATTGAAAAACCTCATTAAAGTCTCCAACACGTGGGATGTGATTCTTTCGCGATTTTCCCAATACTTGACCCGAGTTTGAGATAACGACTGCTGTATTCCATAGGATATCGCCATGAGTTTCATCCCTTTCCAGAATTGGTGACACTATTACCATATCATTCATTCTAGCGATCTATCGTTGAAAGTATAAATATTTTCAATATAACTCAATGGTAGTGATGGGCAACTCCTACCTCTTGCAAGAATGTAGTGGTGGGTCCGGTCTCAGCGCTCTCCGCCAACTCAATCCACGGCAACCTCTCGCGGGTGCAGAACGCGAAGGGCATCGCTGTATACATACAGTACAGACATATTTCATCACATTATCACCCATTAAGACATCACTCACTGAAAGCCTCCTGAAAGCAGATGATATTAACGCCGCAAAGAGCGGCCGCACTAATCATATCAGCCACTCGTTTGTGAATGGCATCCCTCTGCTCGACTACCGGTGCAGTTGTGGGCAAAACAATCTTATTCTGAATGACTCCTATTCTGACAACTCGTCGTTTCCGGGTTTGTTCGCTTTGGGCGCTGAAGACATACCCTTTAATCTCAAACGACTTTTTCTTTGATATCTCCAACGCTTCCGAAGGAATCTTCAGTTCGCTTTCGGTTACAATCAATGGTTTATAAAAATAAATCATTTTATGAGTCAATTCTTACGTCAATTCCTTCCCATATAAAAGTCGTTTAACTTCTTTGAGTTCTTCTCGTGAGCTAACATTCCTCTGGAGACTGTCTTCAAGTGACACAAACTCTGATTTCTCAGCCATTTTTGAAATCTCACTCAAAGATAATTAATGCGAATTCATATATATTTGTGTGTAATTTATGAGATTTTATTGAAAGATATGTCAAAATGAATCAAATTCAAGGTTTCGTGTCTATAACTGTATGGTATGTCTATGCAGTATATGTGCCACTGTTTCCATGTTATGTTCACTCAAATTACAACACCTTTTCACAAATCATTTCAAACATTGACAATTCATTCAAACAAACTTTAATTAAGTTACTTATGTTTTTATTTATGAATACTGTACCCCTTTTGCAATGTATGATATCATGAAATACCGGAATCAATTTATTTCTTACTCATAATATCATAAATTCATTATTATTCAATATGGTCACTATTGTAATCTACAGAATCTATTGCTATAATTATTATATAATCCAAACAACATATCAATTACATTCAAATAAATTGGTATTCAATGTGAACACAAATATTCATGAATTCATTGAACAGAATATTCATAGCATTAACCACTCATTGACAGCGCAGTCGCAGTTCACCACAAATTACATCATTGTTTACATTACAATACGTTTGCATTTGTCTCACATTTACCACAAGAAGTTCACATTTAGTGATATGACAGTCAGTACATACCG